ATCCTTTTTCGGGTTCCGGTGAGACCACATCACGAATTCCTTTCAATCAAATTTTCTTTCAAAATGCAAAGTCATGTCACGATATATCACTAAGGAATTCTTCGAGATCAAGTATTTATTCATTAGTTGTCAATATTGATAATTCATGAATCAGGTATTCTATCGCTTGACCTTTAAAGCTTTTAACTTCATCCTAACGATCTGAGATATTTTTTGTGGGAAAATTCAGGATACTTACATAGGGCTTTCCTTAATTTTTTTTAGTAATCTTAATATTTTAAGATATGACAGACTAGTTTACTAGTAAGATTTTTAAAGGCCAATGGACAAGCTGTTTAATTACTTGCAACATCTCTACTATTTAGCCGGAAATCCCGGTAATTTGGCACCAGCCCCGATCTACTTGCGCCATCCACACTTCGTCTTCCAATCAGCTAATCTTGGTCCCTCAGACACTTTCACTCGATCCTTTGTTGCGTCATCATCCTCTATGCCGAGCGGAGGTCAATCAGAATCAGGCTGTCTAGGCGCCACCGCCTCTGGTGGTCTAATGGAATCCTCTCCACTTGTGGCAGCTGACTTTCTGTCTTCGCGTGACCAACTTGTTACTGCTGGTTGGGACCGTCTGGGCCGGATATACGACCTGGCCACAGGCTGCGAACTAGACAGCCTTTCTGGTCACGATCACCAGCTAACTGATGTGCGCGCCTCACTGGCGTCTCCGGTTGTAGCTACTTCTGCCAGAGATTGCACCTTTCGTGTCTGGGACTTTAGAAAGCCAGGCATGCAAGTTCACATACAGCAGGCGCACAGTCAGTAAGTCTGGGAAACATTTTCTGTATGCCATAAGGTCTTATACGATGCTCCTCGATTTATTTATCATTTTCTGACTTATTTAAACTTTGTTCAGCTAAACACAGTTTAACGTTATCTCAGACGTCTCATAAGTCGCTTACTAATTTCCGAATATTTTTCAGGCCTCTCTCAACTGCCCAATTCCTCCCCGGTGGCCCTACAGAGCGAATAGTCTCTGCTGGCTTTGATAGACAGTGCCGTATTTGGGACCTGCGCAACTCACGAGGCCCTCTTGTTACTATCCGCACTGACTCAGGGATAAACCGACTTTCCATTTCTCGTGGCGCTCCAGTTGCTTCAGCGGGCTTTCAATTGCCGCAGGGCGGAGTGACTGGCATTTGGGATCCACATGGAGTATCTTCCCTTGGATTTCATCAATCCACCATGGCCTCTAGCCAAACTTCAGCAATGGCTTCTAACGCCGGCATAACAGCAGTGACTTTGACTGGCTCACATCTGTTTGGTAACACTTTTCCTGGCGATATTGGAGCTGCGAATGTCCCTACGCTCATTGGCGGATGTAACTCCATCGGCCAGAACTTTCCTGCCCCTGCTTCTGTCCCCCTTGTAGACTATAGTCAGCCTGTATCGTCCCTTGCAGGTTCAGGTACTTCGACCACTATGCAGTCTCCAGTAGAGCTCACAGGTTATATAAACCATTTGGAATCAGGCGGGGCTCTTTTGTCTCGCCCAACTGGATTCGCTCTGCCTGGCGGCTTACTTGCTTTGCCCTTAGATGACAGAAGTATCAAAATCTTTCACTTAAATGGAGCTAGAATTGGCCGGCTCCCTAGAGGCACTTCACAGGTTAGTCCATTTTATTGCATCTATTGTACAGGGAAAATAGCATCGACCTCAAATATTTTTTTCTCTTATATTTTTAATTTATAGGATCAATCTTTTTGTTGCCTTCCAGTTGATCTCGTGTGCAAGTAGCGCACTGTGTTCTGCTATTTTTGATCGCTCCTTACTCATAGTATTGCAAAGCCTTCAGTGCTATTTATTCCCTATCCTGCTTCTTATTAATTTTTAAACAATGCTACTTATTCACAGTCACTACATTTTATAAATGTACCCCCGAGCAACCCTAGTTGTCCAGAAGTGGGTTGACCTCGTA